GGACAGGGAGGGGGACAGGGAGGGGGACAGGGAGGAGGACAGGGAGGAGGACAGGGAGGGGGACAGGGAGGAGGACAGGGAGGAGGAGCCAGGTAGCTATTGTTTTATTTACAGACAGGTAGGCAGATGCATTAAAAAGCTTATTGGCTGTCTTCAGAAGGCTCCTCCCCCCTCATATCTGTGTCAGCCAATCCCCTGTGAGAGGAGGCCGGTTCTGCAGGGTGAGGGGACGGGTGTGAAGAGGAGGAGGAAGAGGAGGAGGAGAGGGAGGAGGGCAGGGAGTGGGCGAGGTCTTGGGGTTGTTCAGTCTGCGACCTCCCCTCACCGTCTCCCTCTCCTTCCATCAGACCTTCCTCCTCCCGCCCTCCTTCTCCTCCACGTGACCCGGCAAACTGCAGGTGAGGCAGGTGGGCCTCCTTCTCCTTCTCTCCCACCAGCTCCTTCTCACGGCGTTCCACGTACAGCGGAGCCTCCAGGCCCAGGTAGGAGGCGCTGAGCTGCCGCAGGTCCAACTCGAAGGGGCTTCCATTGGGCCGATCTCCTCCTCCCCTCTTCCCCTTACGGGGGTGGGAGGATGCTGAGGATGGGAGGCCATCAGGGAGGAGAGACTGGATCTTTGGGAGCCAGCGTTTACGAACTCTGCGGGCGTTCGTGCACATGTCAGCTGCAATGACGTTCATCTCACTTTCCTTGAAGTTGGGAGCAAAGTTCTGACAGTACACTGAGGAAGAGGAGGAGGAAGGCATGCTTCAGAGTGTGGAACAAGAAAGAAAACCTGCAGCAGCTGGAACAAACAAACTTACATTTGACTGTGTTCAACACTCGGTTGTCCAGAGGTTTCCGACTCGGATCGTTGGTGGAAGAGCGGATCCCTGTTCCACAGCTGTTGGCCAGAGTGTTTCTATGGAAACCAGAATAATCAATCAGTTTGTCTGTGATCAAGCAGTTTTTTAATGTTACTGAAAGAATATTGAGAAAAAGAAGAGTCTGATGAATTCAGGTGAGATGAGGTATCTGTGGCCTCTGGTCCATGACCCTAATGTTCTGCAGAATCTGTTAGTTCAATCTCTAACGTTCTGCTCTCTCTGCTTTTTCTCATAGTAGCTTCATCTGGTCTGTTCCTGTTTGGCTGTGACT